CAAATATCATGGATGGGTATGGCCAGTCTCATAAAAAAGGTTCATTTTTTTTCTTACATTGAACTTAATTAAATATTGTATATGTCCTTGCCTTGTGAATCTTTCACGTTTCTGACAGAATAAAATTTTTGCATACATAAATAAAACTATTATATGCAGTATCAAACAGTGCAATATTTTAAACTAAGACACCAAATTTACAAACCATCTTTACATGTATGTCTTCAAAAATTTATTCATGGCCAGATATGAAAATATTAGGTGTAACCTTTAAGAGGCAATTAATCAAGTAGAAGTTAAAGTGAAATCATATTTTGATTGTCGCGAAATGTTTTTGACCGTACCATCACTTACGAAATTACAGTGCAATCGATTGGCCTAACTCATAGTATCCAATGCATGTGTATTGCATAGTATAGCTTGTTCCTTTTGTGCACTATAAAATTCATCCAAATGAATGATAATATATAAACAGAAATTTAGTAAATTTTTTGCGATTAAGCTTCTATTAGATACACATTTTTCAGTCAGACGTAGAGTACTCATTTTGTGGCAATTACTGGATACCACAAATGTTTAATTAATTATTCTGACTAAAAAAAATTTAACACACACTCCCTCACAAAACTAAAACTGATAAAAGATTATCTAGATGGATAAAACTTTGTAGTTTACTTTATGAAGCGCTTGACCATCAAAATATTAAGCATTTTTCTAGCTCAGCAACATAAAGCAAGAAGACAACAAAATAATTATCAAACGAAGTCTGGAATATCTTAACTTATTACGAACAATTTAAATGCTAAATGGAGATAAATGGAGATCTAAACCTCGTTATTTATAATCTCAACTGCTTGCTACCCAGAAAAGATTCACCGAATTCAACAACAAACATTTAGTTAAGTGTCAAATTATGCACAATACGAACATAGAGTTAAACTTTCACCTGTAGGTTTTGGAACTGAACAATGACATAAATTTCGAAACTGAGCTATGTCTGCAATTATTGATTAATGATGAAAATATGTACTATTTCTACGTGCAAGACATCGTGAGAAATCGATTTTCATTTTAATTCTTCATAGACCTCATGCAAATATTTGGTGACAGTGATGTAAAAGACCATCATATATTCGTTCCCGTAGTCAGTTTTCAAACAAATAATAATAGTTCAACAAAATTATGACATTGTCCTATACCGTGACATAAAAGAAATGATGTTAATTGAATTGTTTTTGTTTAAGTCATAGCTAACCTGATGATTGTTGTTTCCCGAGTGGTTAACCCCAACTCTAATCATCATTCAAGGGTTGAAAATTCCAAAAGTCCACAAATAAAAGCTGACCATAACTGTTTTATTAGCGTTTGTTTACACTGAATAAAAATAAATTATAATAATTAATTACAAAATACATTTAATTGTGTATCCTTCAAGTTAAATTATCTTATGCCACTGGCAAGCAGATTTCAGTTGTTGGCATGACACGGGTTATGTTCTTCTCATATATTTTATGATGGTATAATACTAAACCCCTAACAGGAGGGATTGTGCCTGATATTCATATGATGAAGACATAATCTTTCAATCAGTTTAATTGAGGTCTGGAGCTGGCATGTCAGTAACTGCTAGTAGTCTGTTGTTATTTATGTATTATTGTCATTTTGTTTATTTTCTTTTGTTTCCTATTCTGACATCGGACTCGGACTTCTCTTAAACTGAGTTTTACTTGCGTACTGTTGTACGTTTGTTTTTTCTACATTGGCTAGAGGTATAGGGGAGGGTTGAGATCTCAAAAAACATGTTTAACCCCGCCGCATTTTTGCGCCTGTCCCAAGTCAGGAGCCTCTGGCCTTTGTTAGTCTTGTATCAGTTTTAATTTTAGTTTCTTGTGTATAATTTGGAGTTTAGTATGTCGTCCATTATCACTGAACTAGTATACATATTTGTTTAGGGGCCAGCTGAAGGACGCCTCCGGGTTTGGGAGTTTCTCGCTGCATTGAAGACCCATTGGTGGCCTTCGGCTGTTGTCTGCTCTATGGTCGGGTTCTTGTCTCTTTGACACATTCCCCATGTCCATTCTCAATTTTATTGTCTTATTTACACAGCTATTTTATACATCAATTTTCCTTACCAAGTGTTCAGTTATACGTTTGTGAAGTAATATAAAATTAGGAGAGGTGGTATGATTGCCAATGAAACAAATATCAAACATTGTCCAGTAACGTTGATTTAAGCAACTATAGGTCAGATCAACGTATGGTATTTGAGAAATAGACAAACTCATAACGTATAGCATAAAGACCACAACATGTTAAAATGTTAAACCATTTAAACGAAAAAACAGCAATCAACGACAACCATTGAATTACAGGCTTCTAATGTGGGACAGGCAGGAATAGAATATGGCGGGTTTAAACATGCTTGTATGCTAGGAGAAAGGTTTTTCTCCTGCAAATATGTTCAATCCCGCCACATTTTTATGTGCCCGTCACAATTCAGTAGCCTGTAATTCAGTGGTTGTCGTTTGTTGCTGTATATCATATTTGTTTTTCGTTTATTGTTTTTTACATAAATCAGGCCGTTAGTTTCTCGTTTGAAATGTTTAACATTTGCCATTTCGGGGCCTGTTATAGCTTGCTGTGCGGTATGGATGTTGCTTATTGTTGAAGGCCGTAAGGTGAAATATAGTTTACGTCAGTTGGTCTTTGTTTGGGAGTTGTCTCATTGGCAATCATATCACCTCATCTTAATTTTATATTTTGAACGCTCAGCCATCCCATAGCCTGTGACAGTGGTGTAACAGTACAACATGAGAAAAACCTGTAAAGATCAGTTGGAAAGACATTATGATTACTTTGTTCGATGGCAAATTGTTTTTACGCGAGACCAGGTAAACTTAATTTGCGACAGTAAAACTACCGATGGACGTCCGCAAAACTTCAATTACAATACAGTTATCTCTTAATTGGCCAACACATTTTTGATATCTTGTCCGTCCCTGCTTTTGAACCAAGTATGACATGACTTGGCAAATTTGACCATAACTTATATTTATAATTTATTATACAAAATACAACTGTGACTATAAGCAAGAGAAGTATTGCGAATCATGGAAGTTTCAGAGATATGTTCACACTGAAAGTAAATAAGAGGAATTTGTTTTAACTGTAGAGGAGCATTCTGATCATATTAAGTAAAGCAACTCATCAAAAATTGAAATTAACACTTATAAAAGCGAAGCGCTTTTTCTGGATTTGCCTTCATTACGAACGCTCATAGCCAAAGATTTGAAAGCCAAGAATGTACCGAAACATGCGAAGAGCTATTTGACCGGACCTGAAATAATAGCTAAAGTGGTTCGGACGCATGCAATTTATTACGTGTTGTTTTCATTTTTTGTCTGAGGGTGTTGAAACCATAGTTTCGTAATAATCTCCTTATTAATAAACGGACAATTTAAGAAAGGTATGTTACACATCACGTCAGTACAAAGAAAAACCGATAAATACGAGCAACGTTTTAAGATTGTTTCGACGCACAAAACTGGACAAAGTTACATTGCATGTCAAAGTGGTCTAAGGAAAAATACAAAAGATGGTGCTTTTATAATAATGTATAGGTTCCACATATTGTGGAAACGCTCAATTCAAGTTTACTTCTTAATATCCACAATCCTCCAGAGCACTTGGTCTCACCTTCGATTATTATGTTGGAGTTCGCGCTGTCTTTTTATGAAGTTTGTCTGTTTATTGATTTATTTACATTTTTTATTCTGTGTTTGTCCTGTCTTTGGATACGGTCTCTGGCATAGATATTAATCGTTTTTCTTCGTAACTGCACCTTACTCGCCGACAATTGACAGAATGTTTCTTTTCTTTTCTTCATCTGGATCAATATCATAGTGTGAAGGGGACACTACCCATTACAAATTTAGAAATCAGAAAAGTGTTCGATGTTAAAACTGTCTGTTTTAATTGTAGTAATTCAACAACCATTCTAAGGATAATATTTGCATGTATATGGTGTTTTCTTATTTGTTTGGATTATATAAATTAAATATGAAATATAAAAATTTCAATTAGAAAACGCACTAGTTCAAATATATAGGAAATAACAGATGAAAATGCAAATATTTCGTTGTATTAAAAATCGTTTACATTATTTTTATCGGTTTCACTCCTAACGGAAAATATTCATGGTTAACATCCATAGTACAATATAACAATATAAACGTTGTCATTGCAAATCAGGGAAGTAACAGTAAAATATTCACTATCTGGCTTGTGTCGTACGGACAGATCTCTTGTATATATATATATCTATGCTCTCTTACACGGCTAAATAATTAATCACGGTTTGTCCAATTCATTTTTGTTTTTGCAGGTTGGACAAGTAGCACAATAAATCAAATTCCGAGATTTAAAACTGATTTTTGCGTTCACATCAACTAATATCCCCGTACGTGAATATAAAAGCTTCTCCCTCAACGATGTAATAGCATGTCCCACATCGAGGGCCTCCACATATCTGTTAATTCAGAAATTCCTCCGTATGATACATGTAGAATGTAACCTCTGCAACTTGGTATTGAACCAAGTGTCGGCGCCTTGGTTGAGAGACTCCCGTATGACCGAAACATAAGTTAATGGTTCAGTTCCGTTTCCACACTTTGACCTTTAATAGTGTGGTGATCGATTACAACAAAATAGTAGAAATGACTCTTGAATCTATAAAAGAGGATTTGTTTGTATTTCTTACACACATTCGATCGATGTTTGTCATGTGACTTCAGTATTGGATTTCATTTAGTTGATACAAACTTAAAACATGTAATGATGCAGGAGCAAATAAGTGTTTAAATAATCCACCATGTTAAAACAGTTCATTGATTGGAACGATATGTGAATCATACAACAGATAATAATAGAATAAATTATATTTAGGTTGGATTTTCCTATATGCAGTTTCTTGTTATTACAGATTAGAGGATAGTAAGTAATATTTTGTTCTCTTTATTATGTAAATCATATTTTCTAAAAATACAGGTGTGTAATCAGGTAAATTTAAAAACAAACAATACTTTTTAAAGTCGGATGATCTCTACATGTCATTATCATGTCGTTTATTTACATATTACAAGACTGATAACACACACACAAATATCGAGTAAGTATTATCTTACTCTCTGCATAATTATTTAGTATAATCTACTATTTTAGAGGAAACGAAAATGGTTTAAAATAAATAACAAAAGTCAAAGATAAAATGTCATTGAAAAAAAATCAATGTAGAAAAAAATCTAATTTGTCGAACTCTGCTTGATGGATGCCTGATGAGAAGTAAACGTATGGGTTTTTTGATACTTTTCCTTGAGCCATTAATCCTATGTTACTTTGATAAACAACAAACCTTGCCATTGAATCATTCGAAATACAATGGTTTTTCTACAACCTGGCATTCGTGGCATGAGACAGACTTGGCACAATTTGTTGGAATTTTTAGTGTTCTGAAACCTCGTTATTCATTTATTTTTCCAATTGTTCTGATTCAATAGATATAAGAAGATGTGGTATGAGTGCAAATGATACAACTCTCCATCCAAGTCACAATTTGTAAAAGTAAACCATTATAAGTCAAAGTACGGCCTTCAACACGGAGCCTTGGCTCACATCGAACAGCAAGCTATAAAGGGCCCCAAAAATGACTAGTGTAAAACCTTTCAAACAAAAAAACCAACGGTATAATCTATATACATAAACGAGAAACGAGAAACACTTATGAACCACATCAACAAACGACAACCACTGAATATCAGGTTCCTGACTTAGGACAGGTGCAAACAAATGCAGCGGGTTTTAACGTTTTAATAGGCGCCAACCTTCACCCTACATGAAAGCCTTATGCTGACAAAACACGCATCTTGCGTACCAAATATTCAGCCGGGTATCTTTGATTCTAATTTAATTAAAACTAGGTTCTTTGATGGAAGGGGGAAGTATTTCCTGTTACCCTATATCATCCATCTCAGATATGGACTAATAATCATCTAAATTGTTTTGCTTTTTGGTGTCATCATATAACATACCGTCAGCAAGTGTTCTGTTCTTGGTAAACTGTAAACTAAAACAAAATAATATTTATGATTTGGTAAATAGCAGTAGCATGGGATCAAACGGCGAAGTGCAAATAAAACAGTGAAGTTTTGTAACATTTAACAATATATATATTATATATGACAATCATTGGTTCGGCAGCATGAACAATGATGTAAGGTTGATTTGAATAAACGACCATTGATGCATGAAATATTGCATAGCAGTTCTATTAAAAGCAGTCCATTGTTTTGTCGGTTATAACGTACAGAAAACATTGTCCACAACATTTTATCTCAGTCTGGGTTAATATCTTATTTATAGGTTAGACAATACTTGATCATGTTTTATGAATATTTAAAGCCCGAGGCGTAGCCGAGGGTTTTAAATGTTCATAAAACATGACCAAGTATTGTTTGACCAATTAAGAACATATTCACACCTTCGAGTGACATAGCAAAATTAGCCTCACATTGTTATAATCAAATTTTGATATCAGCTCACTTGAAATGTAAACATGGTAAGTAAAAGAGATGTAAATCATTTTAATGGTTATTTCAATTAATGGAATGAAAGAGCAATGAGATAATTTTGTGATAACAAAAAAGGATAAATTATTTAAAAATGGAGATGTCTTCTGCTACAGGTACAATTTTATCTTATATATCGAGAATTCCATTATTTTAAAACGCACACAATGTTATATAGATATAAGAAGATGTGGTATGAGTGCCAATGAGACAACCCTCCATCCAAGTCAAAATTTATAAAAGTAAACCATTATAGGTCAAAGTACGGTCTTCAACACGGAGCCTTGGCTCACACCAAACCGCAAGCTATTAAGGGCCCCAAAAAACGAGAAACGAGAAACACTAATGAACCACATCAACAAACGACAACCACTGAACATCAGATTCCTGACTTAGGACAGGTGCAAACAATTGCAGCGGGCTTAAACGTTTTAATGGTACGAAACCTTCATCCTTATCTGAAACAATAGTGTAACATCACAACATAAAAACACACACTATAAAATATCGATTGAAATGGCTTAACTCAATCAAAAGACATATTAACACCGGTGAACATACACTGAACAAATAAATTTGATCTATGATACAATGCAAATACAAAATAAGTAAACTAAGGGAAAAATGATTAAAGTAACATGTTATACGCTGTGAAATGTTAAACAATTTAAGAAAAAAAATATACTTGAACAAAATATCATCCATTTGCAATTACTTTAAACACAGGTAAATGAAAATAATTTTGTTGTTAGGTATACGTGTACAGTTGAGATAGAGAAAGGCAATATTTTTACAAAATAAATAATTTTGATGTTCATAGTACGAAGAAGTGAAAATTTATAGTAATACCAAACACTTATCAAAGCTGGTATATAGACCAGATATAACCCTGAATAACATTAAATAACAAAAAAGCATTACGATTAGTATCAACAGGTCATAAACAAGAAAGTACGATTTGAGAGTACTCGCAGTTACTGACTAGTTAAAAGCCAAAAACAATTAATAATAAAAAATCATGCATCAGAGACTAAAATCAACTAACACACATCCCAGGGATTTAGTATTTTAACGTCATGGACAGTCAAAGAAGACATGACTTGTGCAATGCCAAAAATAAATGTATCGACAGGCAGTAGGCTAGTTAGGAGTTAACCTCTTTATAGATCAAAATAAACGTGGGTGTGTCTTTATACATCCCACATGGAAAGCCATGTACTATGAAAAATAGAAGGGAAAATACTGATTTTCCATTGGACAAGAATGGGTGAGTATGTTCTAACATCATATAGTTTTTAACTTAGCTGACACTACCATGTTTTAGAAATTGTACGAGACAGCAACCATACAACAAAAAATAAAGACATCTATAGGACAATATATCATCTAACCAATAAACTAACAAAAATCGACACAAGAAGATGCCAAGAATAATAAAAAAAATCATTAGTACAAAAAAGTAAAAAAATACTACAGTTGGAAATATCAGGGCGAAATAACAAAAAACAATTCATAAAAACAAAACAGAAAACAAGCTGAGCAAAACGAGTCTTATGAAAACCGGAGATGAAATCAGGTGTTCAAAACGAATAATTAGTTCTTGCCTCACTAGTAAAGCCCGCAGTTTTTTATTTTTATTCTGGTAAGAAGAATCAAAAACATATGTTAGCATTTGAAAATATACTTGAAAACTATTTCTTTTAAGCACTTCAATTTGACGAATCTCGTAATCCTTTCTGTGTTATTTATTTAAAATCAAAAGAATATTTAGATAAAACCGACTACTTAATTGCATAACATCAAATGGCAAATATTTGATGCATTTTAATGCCGAACAGAAAGCTGATGATATTGAAAGAATTTTTGACACAAGCTAAAAAAAAATGCTCTCATTGCAGGTTATTTAATGTAAGTTGAAACTGACTATGGAGCTTGGTGGTTTAGACTTTGATGTCAACACAACTATCATGCAAAACAGCAGTAATATAACAAATGGTACAACTAGATTGGATTACTATGGTGTAACATTAACAGCTGTATTTAGTGTGTGGTTAATACTGATTATTATATTTGCAGTTATAGGAAATATACTGGTCATGTTAGCGATTCTGCTGGATAAGGACGTGCAGCGAAAGGATAACGGCACCAATTTATTCCTTTTTAATCTTGCATTTTCTGATGTAATGACAGCAGTATGTGTTGCTCCTGTTTCGCTTTATACTCTTATTCACGAGGGATGGCATTTTGGATCTTTTTTTTGTAGCTTGAATCTTATCCTTAACATGGTATTTTTGTTTACGTCTATTCATAGTTTGATGTATATAAGTATTCATAAATACCTATCTGTAAAACGATTATCACAGTGTGAAAAACGACCTGTCAAAAGATGTGTTTGTTACGGTATGATTGCAGCATCATGGATATGGGCAGTTCTTTTTGCCCTCGTCACAACATTTGTTTTAACTGAAGCTGAATATAAAGTTAAAACAACACAATGTGGTCCGAAATATCCGATTTTTACAGTTAAATCTGTAATCCTGTCTTTGAGCAATTTATTGATAAACTTAGTACTTCCATTTATAATTATGCTCATTATGTACTTGAAGATATTTTATATAATAAGAGGGACTGCTGTCTTTAGACGTCAGTCATCCCGCAGTGATTCTAGCTTAAAAAGAACGGCTGGTGAGAAAGCTGCAATAAATACCCTAATTATTGTCTTAGCGTGTTTCGTAATATGTTGGCTTCCATACTTATTCTACACGAACTATGTTTTCTTCGAAGCGGACAAGGATTCCATTCCAGCCTTTCTAAATCCATTAGTAAGTTAAATCAAATAACTTTAATAAAATAACAACTTATTTTTACGGTAGATACTGATAAAAAAGGTAAAGTATTACGAGGGAGATAATAAAAGACAATACAATACCTAGAATATAACAAACTTATCTAACAATCACTGGTCAGAAAGCTGAAGCTTTTGCCACACAAAACCCGGCAAAACCAAATGATGAATAGATGCTCCAAAAGGATACAAATTCCTCTTTCACCAATGGAATCAGCTGTGCTGAAATTAATAATAAACGTCCGGTTAGTCAGTTAATAATGAATGAACTATTATAGCTATGACAACAAATGGAACATATTTGTAGTCATCTTTGACACAAATACAGGTATTCTGCAGTTTACAAAATGGTAATAACCTCCGTTAAATGTTTGGAGAGGTGACTTTTATCTTTCAGTTGGTCTTAATAGTTTCCTATTTGCAGCTTAATGTATATGGAATTAGCAACCATCTATCACGAAAATCATGAAAGGACACACACGCTATCAAATATCTAACAACCGTGAAATCTCTATTCAATTTGTTGTTATTGTTTTTATGCTGCTCCTCAGAATAGTGAAGTCAGCTCTTTTATAGTTAAGTTAAGTTCTCGGCCAAGCCAACTCTTACTCTAGTATTGTTAGGAAGCAGATTTCAATGTTCACCTAGCATCCTTTTATTCAAGACCAAACGTTTGATGGAATAGGTCCAATCAATATAGTTACCAAATCTTAAATTGCTTTCAATAACAACGAGCATTCTATGATACGGTATAAAACTCATTGAAATACCGGGCTTATAATGTCTTCAGTCAGACGCGCTTATCGTCTATATTAGACTCATCGGTGGCTCTTGAGTCAAACCAGATTGATTAACAAATCAATACAAAAATAGAGAGCATTGAAAACCTTAAATTCTAACAAGTTGTCCCAAATCTGGCTAAGGTTGGTGGTGGTAGAAAAACCTTGGTTTTTCGAATAATTCAACATTGAATAATCAGTAAATTTACAGAAAATTTCCGTTTCAAGGATATTTTATCGTAACAAGAGAATGCTAACTACTGGAATTGTGTTTCCCTAGGGGCCAAAACGTCTACCAGCTGCGGCAAAAATCCATTGGCTGTAAAGCTCTTCAAATATATCCGGCGTATTATTTGGACGACAGACGTTGCATTTTAATCTGAACAGTTGTTAAATTAAATGTATTTCGACGTTTAATAACACAAAAAACTCAAACTTCAAACTAGTTGAGCCAAAACAATTTGGCTAAGGTCAGTCATCATGAGGGTAGAGAAACTTTGGTTTTTTGTTTAATTCAACATTTAATCATCAGTGATATGTTATGTCCTAACAAGAGTGCTAACTAACAGACTTGTGATACCTCCTTGTAGTATTTTGTATCTGGCGTACACAATTCTAATCCTGGTATCAGGATCATGGGTTTATTTACAACCACTCGGTCGATGCCACTGCTAGTGAAGGTTTCCTCCCTAAAAGAGTCACCAGCCAATTAGTTAGCACTTCTGTATTGACATGATATTATAGATATTGTCATAAATATAAATTAATAATTTACAAAACAGAATTTTTCGAAATACTAAACATTTTCCATGAGTAAACTACCTTAGCTGTATTTCGCACACCCATCAGATCTTTGGGTCCTCAACGCTCTTGAATTTCGTATTTTATTTCGCAAATTTAACTTTTTTGATTCGAATGTCAGTGATTGGTGTTTTGTTGACGAAACGCAAATCTGCTGTGCAAAATTTTAATCCTGGTATCTATTATGTGAATGGAGATTGTGAAAACTTCATACAGATGTAAAATTATACATGAGAATGTGCTTTAAGGAATATTACCCCGGTAAAACATGTTGCTTTTCGGAAGGAATTTTTAGTGAGTTCACTCACATTACTAGTAATTGCTATTTTTTGTTGTTTGAATATTTCGACAATGCTTTTTATATAATTTAGATAAGTAAATGTTTTATAACATTTCCTGTACATAAAATGTTGAATTATTGTAAGCATTAAGGTTTTCTACCGTATATTATAGATTGCCCTAGTGCAGTATTTGGCACAAAATTTTCGGTTGTTTGAGCTCTACAACTTCATACTTTATTTGGCCTTCCAGCTTTTATTTCGAGTGCCATTGTGAGTCTTATGTAGACGAAAAGCACGTCAGGTGTACAAAAAAGTAAAATTAACAAAAATACCGAACTCCAAGGAAAATTCTAATCGGAAAGTCCCTTATAAAATGGCAAAATCAAAAGCTCATACACATCAAACGAATGGAAAACAACTGTCATATTCCTGACTTGGTACAGGCATTTCCTTATGTAGAAAATGGTGGATTAAACCTGGTTATATAGCTAGCTAAGCCTCTCACTTGTATGACAGTCATATAGCATTCTATTATATTGACAACAATTTGTAAGCAAAACAAACAGACATAGTAGGTAAAAATGTCAAAAATACAGCAGTCAACATTGTGCAATAATTTTAATCACTAAAAAAACCAACTATTTAAACAAAGAAAACAAAATGGCATATAGACACATATAGACAAAGTACATAAGCAGAAAGGAAAGACAAGAATACAAAAATGACCATAGCACAATAACAAAAAGGTTAAAAATATACCGAGACAAATAAAAATAAACACTTTAAATAAAGGCAAACAAATGATAAGCCTGGTATCTTTGATGAGTTTTTATTTTATGAGTTTGATTATATATTTTATCTGTATTTAGGGCTTGGCATATCGTATAGACATTATCTATGGTTAAACCAATATTTTCTTCTCTAGATTGGATTGATATCTAATTGACTCAAGATCGTCAAATACTCAAAATATTCAGTGATAAGAACATATAAATAAATATCAGCGTAAAGTTAAGATAATTATCGTTTCATTCTTCGTCAAAAACCTGTATCAATTAAGATGTTCCCTATACAAATCAAGCCACACACCGACAAGAAGGAGGACACAATTGTTTCTCATCGAAACGTTGGCTGTCTGTTAAAAAACACATTCACCAAAAGTAGCAATAGTTTAATCAATCGAAAAATCAAGCATTTTGATGTTTCCAGTTTAAGACAACGTTTTGCTTCAAGACAATATTGAGTGCTGTTTTAACACGTTTATTAATTATTCCACCGAGAAACGTTTAAAAATGGATAAATATTACAAATGAGTCAATGATAAATGATTGATTTAGATATAACGTTGTGTATTCTATTGCTTTTGATTGATTAGTGGGAAACAAATTTACCGATTTATAGATTTATATTGCATTTCTTGTTTCAGGCTTATTATTTTGGATTTACAAACAGCGCCTGCAATCCAGTTATTTATGCATTTCGGTTTCCCGATTTTAAAAGAGGCTACTTAGAAATTCTGAAAAAGTTTACCTGCTGTAGTAGTAGTAGGGGTAAGATTTACAGTCAAGATTAGAATTAACGATAAAAATGGTTCTTATAAAATAAACTGTAGGAATAGAAGGATTTGCAACATATAAATATAAAAACAATATGACAATCTACTTCCAAAATATAAGTTACCAAGATACCATGGCAATGTATGTATACAATAATCAGCATTTTCTCATATTTCCCCAAAAAGAATACTTGGTAAGTCATGTATATTCAGTATAACTCTTAACAGATTTTTTGTGACGAGCTACTTGTCTTTAAATTATCTTATTTAAAATGTCAGTTTGTATTGACCTATTTAATGTAATATATATATTAAATACACACTGTGAACAAAGTATTCGGTGTCTTAGTTTATAACAATGATAATACTCCTATCTGAGGACAGATCTAAATTATAGAGTGTTATATAGAGATATTTAAATACCATCATTTATACAGTGGTCATCAATCTTTTTTTTCTCAATTTCAGCATGTGAAAGCGTCCAGAAAACAGATGTAGATCTCAGGGAAAGAATTGACCTAATAGAAAATAACGCAGATAATACAAAAATATCAAAGGATAATATACAATAAGACGGCCTTAGGGGAATGTGTCATGAGTTAGTGTGATATTTGATAAAGTAACAAGACAAACCAATATATATGTTGTAATTGTGTTACAATAATATTCTATTGTAGTGGTTATGTTAAAAAAGAGAATAAAGGCAATCCAAGAATAAAAGTATGCGATAGCCAAACCATAAATTCATAAATTCATACCTGTCGAACTGTAATACTAAAGGATACAACAAACGAACATATGTACAAATAACTCATATCAGGCATATAAGCTGTCTGTTTCGCTCATTCAATGGTAGCCACATTTTCGTCTTCCTTTCCTTCAATATCGCAACGAGTTTTTACTTGTCTTTAACAACACGGCGGGTACCCGTGATGGGCATACTGTTTTTGTTATATTTTTTGTATGTGTCTGTGTTAATTCTTGCCTTATCGCAGACTATAACTTATCATTTGCTTCCAAGATGATATCTCGGGGTATAGAAATTGAACTCAATTTCTCTGTAAGAGGAGTCCTTTAGCAGTTTGGTACGCATTGATACATAACCTTGTCCATCCGGAATGTCATCATTTATTAATTCGATGTCTTGTATAGGAAAAAATAAAATAACAAAAATACCGAAATCCAAGGAAATTCAAAACGGAAAGTCCTTTATCAAATGCCAAAATCAAAAGCTCCAACACATCAAACGAATGGAAAACAACTGTCATATTCCTGACTTGGTACAGACATTTCCTTATGTAGAATATGGTGGATTAAACCTGGTTTTATAGCTAGCTAAACCTCTCACTTGAATGACAGTCGCATAGAATTTCATTATATTAACAACAACGTGTGAGCAAAACAAACAGATATAATTGGTCAAAATGTCAAAAATTGGGGTACATCAGTTAACATTGTGTAATAATTTTAATCATTACAAATACAAATAACTATTTCAACAAAGCAAAATAAAATGGCATAAAGGCACTTTATAGACAAAGTACATAAGCAAAAATGAAAGACAAGAATACCATCTTTTTTTTTATTTATATTGTGTCTTAGATCAAACTTATTCGTTCAGTGTATATTTACTTGTTTTTGTGCATTGTCTTTTTGATCGAATTAAGCCATTTCAATTGATATTTTATTGTGTGTCTTTTTATGTTGTAATGTTATACCACTGTTTCAGGTTAGGGTGAAGGTTGGCGCCTGTTAAAACGTTTAAACCTGCTGCATTTTTATGCACCTATCCTAAGTCACGAGCCTATTGTTCAGTGGTTGTCGTTTGTTGGTGTGGTTCATAAGTGTTTCTCGTTTCTCGTTTTTTATATATATTAGACCGTTGGTTTTCCTGTTTGAATTGTTTTACACTAGTCTTTTTAGGGGCCCTTTATAGCTTTCTGTTCTGTGTGAGCCAAGGCTCTGTGTTGAAGGCCGTACTTTGACCTATAATTGTTTACATTTTACACATTGTGACTCGGATGGATTGTTGTCTCATTGGCACTAATACCACATCTTCTTATTTAAACACAATAACACAATGGCGAGATGTATAAATACCTAGCAACGTCAAAAGTATATTACTAAAAATTTACAAAACGAAAGTATATTACAAAAAATGGACTAAACAGTAAAGGTTAAAAATATACAAAGACAAATAAAAAAAACTCTATAACACGTAATTAAGATGATAAACAACGTCAGTACCTAGAATCAAGACCATCATTTAAAATTTGTGGAGTTAATACGGAATATTTATCAACAAGGTCTTGGTATCTTCCGATGAACTTTTTTTTAGAAAAAGGACGAGATTTTCTTTGACATAATCCTGGTTCATCAACTTACTGCTCAGATACTAATGACGTTTTTTAAAGTGTGAGTAGCAGCTGCAAGCTCTTGAATATCTAATGAGTTGGGAAACGTGAATGCAACCTTGCAATAACTCTTTTTGGGGAAAGCAAGTGGTAAGGCCAAAGTTCTGCTCCTGTAAAGCACACTATCTGTTCCTAGTGGCAGTCCAAACTTCCAAATTCCACAACCTTCATCCCGATGAACCCACTTTGCAGACCTTGCCTTTAACGTTTATTGTAAAAGAGAGGCGGGATATACTTGTTCTCATCCTGAAGATGCATTGTAGGTCTTTTTTTTGTCATGAATTATTACACCGTATCTTTTTTTTTTGTTATGCAATAATTACCAGTAGACGTTGATAAAAAAAAAGTATATTTAACAAACATAAATTAACGAATTTTAAGGTTAATTCAAAAAGGAAAGTCGATAAAACCTGACAAAATCAAACGCTTGACTATATTTACTAACGGAACGATTGGAAAACAACTGTCATATTCGTGACTTGTTACAACACTTTTCGATGGGTTAAGTCTGGTTGTATATCTAGCTAAACTCACTTGTATGCAATAACAAACAAACATATAACTTTTAACATGAGTAAAGTGACTTGTAAAATAGACAATTTTGTCATTTCGGAGCCTTTTACAGCTTGTTCTACGATATGAGTGTTGCCTTCTTCACTAACCAAGTTTTACAATCCGACCATATTACCAGAGGAGGAGGTCGGATCATGACACTTGGCTAGCGACGATGGAGTTTAGCTCATTGTTGAATTTCGCACGATGAACTATATATGCTTACATCTGTGTTATTTTGTCTTTGATGGATAAATGTCTCAATGACAATCAGACTACATCTTCTTATTATTTTTGATTTTTTTTAAATTTTCATATTTCATTGAAATTTGTATATTTGATGTTAGTATGTGTTAGTAATATTTATACAATATTACATACTTAAAAAAATATCACCAGCCCAGTAGTCAGCACTTCGGTGTTGGCATGAATATCAATTATATGGTCATTTTTCATAAATTTCCTGTTTCCTAAAGTATGATTTTTTCGAAAAAACTAAGGATTTTCTTATCCCAGGTATAGATTACTTTAGCCGTATTTGGCACAACTTTTTGGAATTTTGGGTCTTCAATGCTCTACAAATTTGTACTTGTTTGGCATTATAACTATTTTGATCTGAGCGTCACTGATGAGTCTTATGTAGACGAAACGCGCGTCTGGCGTATTAAATTATAACCTTGGTACCTTTGATAACTATTTACACCACTGGGTCGATGCCACTGCTGGTGGACGTTTCGTCCCCGAGGGTATCACCAGCCCAGTAGTCAGCACTTCGGTGTTGACATGAATATCAATTATATGGTCATTTTTATAAATTTCCTGTTCCTAAAGTATGAATTTTTCGAAAAAACTAAGGATTTTCTTATCCCAGGTATAGATTACCTTAGCCGTATTTGGCACAACTTTTGTAATTTTGGGTCTTCAATGCTCTACAACTTTGTACCTGTTTAGCTTTATAACTATTTTGATCTGAGCGTCACTGATGAGTCTTATGTAGACGAAACGCGCGTCTGGCGTATTAAATTATAACCTTGGTACTTTTGATAACTATATAACATGTCAGAAATATCAATTTAGAAGCTAACCATTTAGATTATCAAACATAGTTATCTGATATAACAAATGCACAGGTTATCACAAATATAGAATCATAGTATGTGTAGTGGTGAAATTTGAAGATATATTTCGATTATGTCTGTACATTTTTAAGTAATCAAAGTGAATTTTTTTTATTTGTTTTTTGGTTTTTTTTTTTCCTTTCTGTTTTAACACATATGCATTATATAGTATTTTCTTATATATGTGCATTTGTTATATTAGATAATTATGTTTGATAATATATCATATGACAATTCTATTTCTACTCAATCATGTACTTTTACATTGTTTTTTATCATGTGCATGTAGGGATTTTGTGCCTTGAAATTATACACCATATCCCTACTTTTCTGTGATCTAAATGCAATCTAAATGTAAATGCAACAGAAAAAGTAGGCCAAACTGTATGGAGCAATGTGGTCGAACACGTATGAAATAAGATAAAAGTATATCTACTACCGAATAAATATATTTTGAAAATTATCCTAGTTATTCAATCTAAACGTTTTGCAATGAGCGTTTCCCATCCATTCTGATAGTGAAAAATGTTAAAGTCGGTGATGTAGTTTGACAAAAACAGAACTCATCATTATATTCTTTTTTAATCAGACTGCACACTATTTTAACTAAATGAAATTTAGAGTTCAAGGCTAGAAAGGAAATATACAAAATAGTTATTCTACTTATTATTATATTATGGAAATTTATGGAGTTTAGGACGTTCATACGATGATAGACTGCAAATGAATCACGCGAGTGGGCAATATATGTTGTTTCGCCAGGTCTACATCTAATAAAGTATTATTCATGAATTATTAAATTCTTCAATTACATGTACATTATTTGCTGCCGATTTCAAGGTCACACAAATAAACTATAAACAGTAAAGTCAAACAAAAATCGTTAACAGACATTATTCAATGTAAATAATGAATCAAACTCAAGTATAACAGTGTTTTATAAACGTATGAAAACTATTCTCCGCTCAAAAAACATCCACATGACTCACCAACAAAAAGGTTGATTGGAGAGATCAATTGCAAATTATATATAATAATGAATTAAGTGTAGCAATTGAAAACATTTCTGTTTGCAAAATTTTAAAATGTTGTTTATGAAGTAAATTTAAAATTAGAAGTTGATACTGTAATTCTGATTTTCCCATGTTTTATAATCATAAAATATAATTCTTCTTATAGCAACTACCTATCCAATAGATAATGGATATTGAAGATGTTATGTTGCTCTTCTTTGAAATACTGGTTCTAATAACTCAACTCTTATAATAAAAAAAACAAATGATAAAACCATTCCAATGTTTATACGTTAATAAATACCATTTGATTATATCATTATAGAGAAACTTACACTATTCTCAATACATATTACTGCAGTATATGTTATTTGCTGTGAATAAACTTTAACTTTTGTTACATTTATGTTTGTTTCTCTGCATCAGATACGAGAGATATCACAATCCTAGAGCATCGTCCCTTGGTATCCGTTGCAGCTAAACAATCAAATATATTGATACATTTCCAGCAAAAATATTAAAAAAAGTAAATTAAAATAACTGCAAATAAATCAAGCCAGTAAGAGGACATTTTCCACATCTCCACATGGAGTACGCAGCTCTTTAATACTTTTTTTAAATTTAATATATAATAGCCTGCATCACTAGCTGTATATCAATATTTTAGGTGTATTATATGAATGTCATGTATGTTGTAAAGATTATATTTGTTATATGTGTATGCCCCCCTGGGGACCTAATTTGGAAAATAAAATATCTTATCTTATCTTATTTCATTATTATTATGCTTTGTGATTTTCTGTTAAATATCCAATTTTTCATACAAGAAAATACATTAAATC